CAACTCCAATCCTTCTAAAACGGTGGAACAACATAATATCAGAAAACATATGCTTACTGTAAGTGAGAGTGTGACTTCCCAGCCTTTTTAAAACATCTTTTCCCCTTCACTTTACCTTTAAGCCAGGAAGGTGCTCCGTCTTCGAAACCCTTTTTTTGTGCCTAATAAAGATTGAGTGGTTTGGGGGGGGTGGTGAATCTTTTCCAAAGCGCAAATAAATAACAATCAAAGAAATAAAAAGATCATTACCTTGCGCCTGGGCCTCCCGACGACTGTGCGGCATATGACCTTGGGGGTGCTGTCCCCCGCCAGACCCGCCTTCGTGGTATCGGAGCCATTGTCCAAGACTACCTTGATGGGATCGCCAGCAGAGGCCTCAGGGGAGAGCTCAGAAGAGGATACTGAGGAAAAAAATTACAGGTTACCAGTTTGAGAGAATACTGAGAAAACAATTACAGGTGACCAGTTTGAGAGGATACTGAGAAATAAATACAGGTGGTCAGTTTGAGAGGATACTGAGAAATAAATACAGGTTGTCAGTTTGAGAGGGTAATGAAGGAAAAAAATTACAGGTGATCAGTTTGAGATGATAATGAGGGAAAAATACAAGTGGTCAGTTAGAGAGGATACTGAGAAATAAATACTGGTGGCCAGTTGGAGAGGATACTGAGGAAAAAATACAGTGTTTTGGTGATCTGTTTGAGTTTTGAATCTAAGGATTGGTTTCGCACCATCACTATCACCATCCTCCCCACCATCGCTACCTCCAGCACTACCGCCACTACTACTACCACTGCTACTACTACTAGCGCCAACACCATTACCATCTCCATCACTGCCACCACCACTACCACCACCATCACTACCACCACCCTTCCTTTCTGGCGCGATGCCAGTTATCAAAAAGATCGACTTCTCACTAGTAAGAGGTGCAAATCTTGAACATCTGAACATTAACCTTCACTTTAAGATCAGTGCTTGCGGCCACACGTATCTTATTAATTTTGAATTGCCGCCTGTGTGCTCTTTCCTCTTTTTTTCCACATTCGCATTACTTGTATCGTTATATGGTACTTTGTATACACTGTCCCATTTATGTCTGGTAGGGCATTATATTAACATTTATACAACGGCAAAGACTGCACTTGACTGTTCTGGCATTTTCTACATGGTACAGACGCTCTACTTTCGGTTCCACTCCACGTCCAAATATGCTTTAAAACTAGAGTCAATGAGTGGATCATTCTGGGAAAAGACACGAGATCAATGCTTTATGGCAGAAAGCAGGATTTTTTAACTCCGTCACCAGCATATTTATATTTATGTTAGGAAAGACTTGCGGAAATTCAGATCTAATACACAAGTAACAAGAATAGAAATCTTTTTGGAAGAAGTAAAGCAGATTATCTGGTCTTCATTTCCTTTCCCAAAACCAAGGGGAAATTAGAAGCCGCAAGTGCTTTGTAATGAAATGTTTGCCTCGCAAAGGAGTTGTACGCCCATCGCATGAGTAGAGTCGGGCCGGTTTTGAGAGGAAATATCTCTCCAGAAAGCCCAATACCGCTCTTGGAAACATTGAGGATACATCATTCATTGTCCAAGTAGTATCTATGAAAACACTCAAGCACTTGAGCCCATTTTCTGTTTAACAATGGCGTGTTTAATAGAATCAACAATAACACGCATTTTACGTTTATCTAGTCCTTTGTTCACTGAACCTTCCAGTTGTTCATGGTCCCTCGCCTTATCGGAGGAGAACAGTAGATGTCAAAGTTTATTTCACTGAATTTTGTTCGAGACGTGTCCTTTGGTCTGCCACGACATGATCATGATGACCCGTGACTGAACGGGCAAGTGGCGTCCCCACTTGAGAAACGGGATTTAACAAATAGCATGGTACATTGTTGTTGCTCAAGCTAGTTTCCGTGTTTAGGACAGTCCAAATTCTAAAAACAAAACGGTTTTTAGTATGCGTTTCCTTCTTGGCCATGAGGTAAGTGGCTCGTTTTGTCCTCACCACAAGAAAAACAGGACAGGGCCGTTGACAATAGAAAACAGTGTCTACAAAGATACATGTATCTGCAAGCTGTTATTGCTATTTTTTTCATGTTTTAACCAATTAAAAATTCGGACACGTCATTCGGTCGTTTGCGCAAAGCCATGCACGCCAATATATTTTAGGGAAAATCATGTCATAATCAAAGATAAAATAACAAAACATAAGGACAACTCTACCCC